GGTCTTTAATTTTTTTGCTCTGTTTGTGTGGCAGGAATATCCATTCCAGAATATTATCATTTCTCTGCATAAGAATTCCAGTAGGAGAATGGGTAGAAGGTAGAATGACTAGGATATAATCAAGCTCTGGGTCCAAACAATCCACATGAGCATCCTGTAATTTTTTTTCTCTACCAGAACCAATTCTTTCTCAGCTTCAGCTGATAATTTTTCTTAAACTATTTAAATTCTTGACACCTTGTAAAGTTTGAAATAAATTACTTAGTTCTTGAGTTGTTAATCTAATTGTGGGCCATAGCCAGTTAATGTCTCCTAGTAATTTTTGAAAGTCATTAAGAGTTCACAATTGATCGTTCCTGATTTGTATCTTTTGTGGTTACATTTTTTGTAAACCTATTTTATATCCTAGGTAATTAATAGAATCTCTTCTTTGTATTTTTTCAGGAACAATTTGTAATCCCCAGTAAGGCAATATTTTCTTTACTTCCTTAAACATTTCTTCTAAGGTATCTACGTTTGAATCAGCTAGTAAGATATTGTCCATACAATGATATATTATGGATTGAGGAAATTGTTTATGAATTATTTCCAATGGCTGTTGTACAAAATATTGGCACAGGATGGGGCTGTTTAACATCCCTTGTGGCAGAACTTTTCGCTGCTACATTTTAACAGGCTGAGAATTATTATAAGTAGGCATCATGAAGGCAAAATTTCTCTGTCCTGCTCTTGTAAAGGTATAGTAAAGAAACAATCCTTTAAATCACTCACTATAATATCTTTTAGGTAATAGAGAAGGTAGGGAACTCCAGGTTGTAGAGGGCCCATCCGCTGAATTACTTTATTTATGGCTCTCAAATCTGTTAACATTCTCCATTTTCCAGATTTCTTTTTAATGAAAAATATAGGAGAATTCCAAGGACTGGTCAATTTTTTAATATGCTGAGCATTTAGCTGTTTCTGTACCAGCTGTTCTAATACCTGTAATTTTTCTGATATCAAAGAACATTGTTCTACCCAGACATTTTTATCAATTAACCATTTTAAAGGTAGAGCTGTTGGCACCTTTGAGAGGTTCACCAGCTGTTGGGTACTGTTTATGTACAACTTGATCAGTCTGTGACCACTCTAGAGAATTGCTTTTTACATTTCTCCCTGAAGCATTCTCTATTTTATGGTTTGTTTCTGAGGTTGGAGGAATGTGTCTTCCACTGCTGTAATAAATCATGTCCCCATAAGTTCATTGCTATTTGGTTACATGTGGTTTTGATTTTCTTCTCTGTCCTTCAGGCCCTATGCATTTGATACATCTTGTGCTTTGTTTCACCTGAGATAAAGTTCCAATCTCTAGAAGCTGAACATTTACCAACTGAAGAGGCCAATTTGGATGCCAAGATTTTGATGCCATTATAGTTACATCTGCCCCTGTGTCTACCAGTCCCACAATTTTAATGCCATTTATCTGTATTGTTAACTTTGGTCTTTGATCCTTTATAGAAATTTGCCAAAATATTTGTTTTATGATTTCTCCTGAAATTTTTGTTTTATTTTCTAAGCTATTTTGTCATCCAGAACAGTATTTTTTTAACAATAGGTCCTTTAATTGCTCTGTGGAGTTTCTTCCATGGTAACAGGCAATGATTGAACCAAATTTGACACGGGGGCCTGTGAGAGGCCCCCAAGGCATTTCCTGATAGCAAAAGTTTACCTTGTCTGTCCCTTGTTGATCTGCATTCATTGGTCCAATGTTAGCCTTTGCTGAACCTTCTGCATACTCAGGAAGGCTGGGGCCTTCTGTTTGCATTCTGTCTAGAAAAAAAAAAAAACATTGTTTCTAGGAATTCCCAGCCTACAATCCCTTTTTAGATGACCTTGTTTACCACAATTAAAACATTTGACATTTTGATTTTTCTTCAAGCCTTTGGAAATCACCTCTCCTATCCAAGAATCATCATGGTTATTATATTCAATAGTGACTATATATTTCAGATCCATTACTCTATGAGTGCTGATCTTACCTTTAAAGTCCCAATTACCCATTTGCATTGTGAATTAGCATTTTCAAAAGCCAAAGATTCAATTAATATTTGTCTAACTTCTAAATGTGATATCATTCTACTACAGCTGGAGTCAATCTTTGCAAAAATTCAGTGAAGGCTTCTTTTTTGTCTTTTATAGTTTTAGTAAATGTCTCAGTCCTCTTTTCTGATTCTTGAATCTTGTTCCAAGCATTCAAAGCTATGGTACAGAATAGGGCCAAGGTATGATCATCAAAATGTAACCTGTCTTTCCACATCAGCATAAATGGCCCTCACCAAGGATTTCATCTTGGGAAATCTCATAACATCTAACCATATCTTGCTGTTCAATGGCCCTAGCTTCATCTCTCCACCAGGTAGTCCACTATAACTGGGGATCAGATTCCAACACTGCTGTAACTAAATCTTTTTAGTCTTGTGGAATAATTCTGTTCCAATGGGCCCATGAATTTAGCATCTGCTTCACAAAAGGTGAATACATATCATATGAAACTATTGCTTCCTTAAATCTCTTTAAATCTAACATTTCTATAGGATCCCAGTTAAGTTCTGAATAGTCATGGGGATGCCTATAACTGGTGGTCATTCTTGAATGGTAATTGTATAAGTTAAGGCTGGTTTTCTAATAACCTTGGGCTGTTCTTTTCTAATATCATAAGGTAATAGTGAGGTTGGTTCTCCTCTAAATTCTTCTGTCTGTGTCTGAATATTTTTTCTTTTCTTTTTTTTTTTTTTTTTTTTGGTTTTTTGAGACAGTTCTGGTGTGTGTCCTGGATCTCACTCTGTAGACCATACTGGCCTTGAACTCACAGAGATCCACCTGGCTCTGCCTCCCGAGTGCTGGGATTAAAGGCATGCACCACCATCACCCGGCATGTCTGAATAATTTTACTATCTATTTTAATAAATTTTTCTAAGGCTTATAAGTCAAATGGTATTATTTTCTTCAGTAATTATTTGTAAGGCTTGCATATTATCAGTAGTAGCCTTTTTTAAGGCTATTATCTTTTGAATAGTAAGCTTTTCTAAGGTTTGCAATTATCAGTCACCTTTTTATTCTCTACATCAGTAAATATTTCTAAAGCTTTTATTATCTTATTAGTCAAAATTGTATTATTCTCCTTAGTAATTATTTGTAGGGTTTGCATATTATCAGTAGCCTTTTCTAAGGCTTGTATCTTATCAGTCAATTTCTCATATTTGGCACAGTTATCAAAACATTTTTAAGGATAAAATATGAATTACTAGACTGATAATAATTATGACCAACATTAATTATGACCAGCTAAGTGGTTTATCTCCTCATTTAGTTTTTCTATTTATATCACATCCATAGTAACAGTGAACAGGGTCCTAAATTCCCTGCATTATGATATTTCCAATTTTTAACAAGTTAATTTTTAACAAGTCAATTTTTAGCAATCTTAAAGTTTTAAGATTGTCCTTTCCCCTCTTCTTTTTTAATTGTTATTTATTTATTTAAATTAATTAATTTACTTAATAGCCTACTTTACCATTTAAAAATTCCCAAGTATCTGACCAGTTCCCAGTCCTCCGAAGATTGGGTAGCAGAGATGGAGTGGTGATGTTTGACAGCAGGTGGAGCCTGTGCAGCACCAAGGTAGCTCAGGCTCAGCAGGCTGAGTGAACGCTGAAGGTGGCTGGACCAGACTCTGTCCCAGTGCTTGTGTGGAATAGAACCCATATGCGGGGGACAAATGCCCCAGCACCTGTGCATACTGAGCATAGCATGTATGTGGGTGAGGGCAGCAGCACACCAAGCGATTGTGCAAAGCAACAGGACCAGGACCTGCTCCAGCACCTGTGCATGCCCTGCAGAACCTGTATGGGGTAGTAGCGGTTGAGCTAGGAGTCCGCATCTGAGAAAACAGGAACTCTGGAAGGCAAGGTGGGGTGTGCACCCTCCATTGAACAGCAAAGCAGCCGTTCGGGAAGGCAGGGGTGGCAGAACAATGATTACCCTCCACCATACCACCCCACATCCAAGCGTGAAGGACACAGTTTTGAATTTTCTTGCAAGGCCGTGTTGGGCACCAGATGCAAAATGATTCCTTTACATGTATTGACAAACAAAATCCATGCACAAATATTAAAGAACAAAAAGGGGGACCTGAGCCGAGTCACAAGCCACCTCTAACACCCACTGTCGCTCGCTGGAAAGGGCCACCTCTTCCCTCAGTCACGTCCATACTCAATGAAAATCCCACTTCTTGGACCAAAACGCCCCTCCCAATTGGCCCTCAGGACCGGTGATAGAATTCCCATAACTTATAGCTGTGAAATAGTCACACTGAAGAATATTTGAGATGACATTGAGCATATTCATGGTAGTATAGCCATAGACCTGAAGTATATTTCATAGAAAATTCTCTCAGTCTCCATGTGTCTCTGTGACTCTCTCCCTGTGCTATGCATATATACACATGCATATAATGTATATATGTTTATTCCTATGTTACTACATGTCTTAGTTTCTTTTCTTTTGCTGTGATAAGATGTCATGGCCAAGGCAACTTATAAAAGAAAGTTTATTAGAGGCCAATGATTTTAGACAGTAAGAATATATGATGGAGGAGCATGTTGTGGAGGCAGGAATAGCTGAGAAATTATATCTTGATCCACAAGTAGAGGGCAGAGAGTAAGACACTGGACCTGGAGTATGCTTTTGAAACTTCAAAGCTCTCCCCCAGTGACACACCTCCTCCAACAAAGCCACATCTCCTAATCCTTCCCAAATAATTCCACTAAATAGGGGCAAAGCACTCAAACATATGAGCTTAGGGAGGCCATTCTCCTTCAAACCACCATAATACACGTACATAAACATCATAGAGGAATCTCATTTCCTAAAAACTTTGCTGAAAATTGATTAAACTGAAAATTTTGAGATTTGTTTCTTTAATTTTTAACTTTCATTCGGTCTCTTTTTTTTTTATGCAGGACTCTGAAGATGGAAAAACCTTCTTTGTGAAGATCCACGCCCCATGGGAGGTCCTAGTCACTTATGCTGAAGTACTGGGAATCAGGATGCCTATTAAGTGGAGTGACAACCGGCAGCCAAAGTACCCACCCCTGAGTTACATGCTTGGACCTGTGAAGCTCCCAGCCACTGTGAAGTATCCTCACCGTGACTACTTCACTGCTCAGTTCAGCAGATACCGTCAGGATCTCTTCCTCATCGAAGACCAGGCTACTTTCTTTCCATCCTCGACGAGAAACAGAATTGTAAGTAGTAAAGGCCTTAGGCACCTCTCTGTGTGTGGTGTGTAAACTCTGAGCTTTTGTGCTTGTATAGGCTCAATAATAAGGTTTTTCTAGGCATGGCATAATATAATCATCTGATAGCACTATGCAGGGCTGAAAGCCTGGTAGGTCCAGTTTTAACTTGATAAGATCCCTATCTCTCAAATATTGTTTAAGAGCAAGCAACTGATTGTGGGTACAACAGTGAAGAGGGCATTATGTCACCCCAGAGCAGCCCAAGGGTTTGTCATTGTAAACTGATCTCATGATCTTAAAATGAGATTTTATAAGTTTAAAGTCAGAGAATGTTGATCACTTTAATTTAGTCTGAATATTCTAAGTTCTTTATATGTAGATAGGCTTCAAGGAGCCTCAGACATTTTCTCTTCTATGAAAATCATCTTCAGCCCTGTCAGCAATATTTCTTCTTCTTCTGTAGGCCTAGGTCTTGTAAACTGCTGACTGAAAGCCCCACACGCTGCTGTTTCCTTGTGTTAAGTGGAGATCACACACATTTATGTTACCCTGAGAATTAAGTGAATGAATCTGGAGAAAGTTTGGACAGCAGTTAACACACAGCAAGTGTTCAGTGAGGAGTAGCTGTCACAGTCATTAGTCACCTGACTTCAGAAGAAAAAGTGTGGTCCCGTGTTGTTCTTGTACTTTGTATCGTGTGTGTGTGTGTGTGTGTGTGTGTGTGTGTGTGTGTGTGTGTGTGTGTGTTTTTAATTGCACCATTTGATTTCCAACCACCTCAGACCTGTTCCCCCTTGAGACCACACATTCTCCCTGTGTAAGTAGAAAAGATGACTCATTCCACTCTCTTCCCAGTTCTTAAACAAATATTTTTATTTAAATTCACAGAGATATCAAACAAGGTGTAGCTCCTAGAATTTTGGTACAATACGAATTGAATATGAAGGGGAAAAATTCTCTCTTTTCCCACCAGGATTAAAAGATAAAGACCAACACTTCAAAGCAGCACCTTTCGGGGAATAAAGAGGCCCTGCTGTTGTATCAGAAGGCCTGTTTTCAAGCCAGAATGCTGCTGTTTCCTAAATAAGATAACTTCTCTGGAAGCAGAGATCCCACTACTGTCCTGTGCTGTAATGAAAGTTTAGTCAATGACGTGTTCCCTAAATATTTGCTGATAAGAACTGAGGATGCTACTCATTGGCAGAGTGCCAGCCTATTGTATACAAAGCACTGGATTTAGGCTTCATCCCACCTTCCAAAAAGATGGACCAGGAGGCTGTTCAGCATGGGAAAGTGGCTGCTATTCCTTCACCTCACCCTTGGCTTCTTGTTGTCACTCAAAAACCTTGCCAGCATGTTTTCTAAGTGAGAAGTATGGACTTCCATCCTTCCGTAGTATAGAAGCACCATGCTCACTTTTAGAAGGCTGGTGCAGAAAGCCTTCCTTCCTTCCTGTCTCACTCAACATTTTAGTCTGTGTATGGACACACTGAATAAATCACTGGAGCACCTTACAGGATAGACTCTCATACTGAAAAGCATCTGAAGCATCTTCTCAAACACCACAGTACGAATTTATATATGCATACATGTGATACACATATATAAAGTCCAACCTAGAGATTTCCCCATGACTTATATGTGTGCACACACCATCATAGTAGAAAAAGGATGGAATTTTGGGCATGAATGAAGCTGTAGATTTAGCCACCTGTATGGGCGAAAAGGCTTACACAGTTAACAAGAGTTTTAAATTGATTGTCTGATTAATGCATCTGCATGGAGAGCAAAACAGATAAGGAATTTTATGTCACTTTGGTCATAAGGACAGAGCTGGCCCTCAGAGCACACTAAAGGAAGGGCAACAGCTTCCTGTCCACCTATGGTAGACACATTCCATTGCTATAGTACATGCATGTCACTTGGCTGTGCTTCACAGACACCATGTTTTCTGAATATTGGTGGAACCCTGCTCTGAGAAGCTCTATAAACAGCATTTTCCAACTGTATGTAACTCTTCTGGATCTCGGTGTATCTATATGACTGTTAGAATCCTTCATGAACATCAAAAGTGGACCATGTAATGGAGTGAACTTGCTGGGCCTGGTGATTCACGCCTGGGATTCTGGCCCTTCAAAGGCTGAGGCAGGAAGATTGTCACGAGTTTGGGACCAGTCTGTGCTACACAGTGAGCTCTTGCCAAGCCTGAGCAATAGAGTTAAGACCCTATCTCAAAACAAACAAACAAACAAACAAATAAACCCAAGAAAATGATAATCATACACACAAAAAAGATGGAGAGATAGAGAATGCTGGATATATTCTGACTCTCCCCTTGACTAGCATTTCCCCCATCTCTCTGGCACCCCTTAGGATCCCTCTTCCCTGAGACAAAACACCTCGGCATACAGTGTCACAGTGGCCTCTCTGTGTGATCCAGTCAAAGTCCCTCAATTTGAATCAAAAGCCAGGAGTGAGAAAGCTTAATAAGAAAGGTATGTGAAATGCAGTGGATGGCCAGCCTGTGCCGGTCATGCAAATTTTGGACGCCAAGCATCAATTCTTGAAGGAAATTGAAAGTGTACTGCAGTTGACAGACATACAATAAGACAGCCTTTCAGCTTGGGGCTGAACATTTTGGGGTCTGGATAGAAGATCAAACCTTTAAGCCAACATTCCCTTACATCAAAACCTAATGCAGATTTAGACCCTACCCTCAATCTATGAATCCAGAGCAATGTGAGGAATTTGCTGCAGAAGAGCTTGAAGCTGGTTTCTGGAGGTTTAAGGGAAGAAGCTGTCTCCTGTATACCCATACAGGAGAAGTCACAGGTCCTGGGGTAGGAGCCACAGCTTCAGGCGCCCAAGATCTGGGTGATGGAACTGGTGAATGTGGCTGTGCTCTTAGCAGATTCTCAGTGTAGATGCAGCAGCTTCATTTCAGACTGTGGGAGTGCTCTTTCCCCCTAGGCCTATTGGCCACCAAGCGGAGAGGGGAAAGAGGCAGATGGGGTGACAGAAAGCTTTGGCGGCCCATGAGCACATACAGAGACAAATTTTGGTAAATCCACTCAATTCTATGCCAGAGTATAAGGAATATATAGGATCAGTGAGCCTGGGGACAAACCCTAATTTGCATTAGGTGGCACACTCCTATCACAAGGCTTTGTATGTGGCAGTAGGGTCCTATAGCAGAGCCCCTAGCACAAGTCTTCTTAGCAGGGATCTGTGACGAGAGTCAAGCTAAAGATGACTTGGGCATATGGTTTAGAAACAGCTTTTAAATAAGGTCAGTCCTCCAGGCCCAGGGACATTCTCCAGATCAAGGCAGGTAGAGAGCAGGAAGCCTTGCTGGAGGGAGGGAGCTCCATGTGGCCAACCTAAATGAGTAAGCTGCCAGACCATGAGAAGACTCCAGTCTCTGACCAAGCCAGCAATGTCTTCCAACATCAGATGATGTCCTCTAGGACCTCACTGTAGGAGTGGAGATGCTGGCTTCAGAGCATTAAAGGGCAGGATGCTAGGGGCTCAGGCAGTTGATGACTTTAAATCGAAACCCGCGCTCAAACCCGCGCTCCCATGGGATTCTGAACATCCTAATGCGTTTCAGAACTGTACTAGAGTGCCTCCCTTTGTGCTCTGTAAACAGAACAACAAAGCCCAGGGCCAGCACATCTGCCTCAAACTGAATATGTTAACCCGCAGATGGAATGTACTTCACAGGAAAACAATTCCTCTTGTTACCTCAGGAATAGTACAGCTCCGCTCCCTGGAGCTCAGCATGAGCTCATGTGAAGCATGAGACGACTTGTTTTCCTGCGGCTAGCAAGACCTCCATTCTTCAGCCTGTGGATCACTGAGTTTCAGGCCCTTTGATGCAGAAAATGTGTTTTATAAGGCTACAGCTGAGAGAGATAGTGATCGTTCTGATGAATTGAAAATCTTCTGGAAATGATTCACGATCCTAGATGTCATTAAAATATTCACAGCTCACTGGAGGAGATCAAATATTAAAATCATGAAGGGCCCGCAAGGAATTGATTCCAATATGAATGGATGACTTGAAGGGCACAAGATTTCTGTGGGGAAAGTAACTGCAGATGTAAACAGGTGTGCCAGAACCAGAAGTGGAGCCTGAAGACAGATTTGAATTGCTGTGGAGGCCAAACACGGTCACCAGGAGTTTTAGAGTAAAAGCCCCAGGATTGAGGCTCTAGGAGTCTCAACAGACCAAGTTCGGCCAACAGTCCTAGTGTGTTAAGTAGTGAGGTAAACAGTGGTGAGTGAGAAGCTCACATTATTTCGCTTTCCATGCTGAGGATTACTATTTGCCTGGAGTTAACTTTTGTGCATGGTAAAAGAAAAATATCTATTTCTTCTCAAACGTATAGTCCACTAACATGTAGCAATTACAGAAAGCATCCAACTTTCTGCTTCACAGTGCAGCTTTGCACATAACTAAAGCATATTTTGTCAACCTAAAAAAAATAAGACTTCTTCAGAGTATGTATGTACACACATACATATACATCAGGAACATAGGCATATACATTAGCAGAGCATTATGTCTGTAGTACACATACCATAGTAAACCATGGGCATATTCAGAGATTGAAATGAAGATGAGAACGAAAATTGAGGTAATTACATATTTGAAACAATAATCACTATTCACTATAATTATTAAAGAAAATGGCATCAGTGTGAGGCAGATGTCACTGTAGAAGCACTTCCTGTGTAAGGGTGTGGTGGCTGTCAGTCCTCTGTGACGGTGAGTAATAGGCAGTCAACACACGATGGCTGTGGACTCTTGCTGTTCTGACAGGAACCTCTATCAGCTTTCTGGTTTTGTATCAATGCTCACAAAGGTGAGCTTCACAAGTTCTGTGATTTGCAAAAGTAAGGACAGCTAAAGAAGCACCTGCCCTGTCCCCCTGGGCTTCTCCTGGAACCTGCTTGCTGGAGATACCTTTCTCCCTCAGCGGACCTAAGAGATACCTGGCCATGTACACCTCACCACCACCATGACTCCCTAACACCATCTCACGTGTCCACCATAGGACGGACTCTCCAGTCCCTGAGATGTTCAGCTCAGTTTGTCCATTGCCAGCTTTCCACCTTTAGAAGAAATAGGGCTAAAACTATTGAACACTACTGTTAATATTCTGACCCGCCCCTTGGGGCCGCCATGCATCCTGACATAGAAGCCTTTTCTTAAGGAAAAGCTCCGCCCCTTTCTCTCTCTCTCTCCCTCCACTCCCACGAAGTGTGCGTAATAATTCATGACAACTATAGTCTCTAACAGTGAGGAGAGGCTTACTGAGGTTTTTGCTGAGACTTCTGTTTATCTCAAAGGAGAAGTCATTATTTATAAATGCAATTTTTCTTAAAGAATGTCCTCAGAAAAGAAGAGGGTGAGAATTAATTCCTTTTTTTGGCATCAGAGAAAGTTCAAGTGTTTTGGACCTGTGTTCATGCTCACATCTCTCACTTTGTTGAGATGTTTTAGTAACAAAGGCCAACAGACTCATTCCACATCCCTAGTTTGTCTCACAGATGGTTAGCAGAGCCAGTGCACCCATCAGAAGAAAGCACTCGATGGTTAAGGCTACCCAACTGATGATGCTTCTCTGACCCTCACAGGAACCTGACCATAGGCTACCCTGAGCCACAGTGAACAGGAGCATTAGCATAGAGGCTCCCTGAACCTTCCTGTCCCCTCCCCATAAGAAAACAAACAGCCCTCTGCCTGTCCTGATGGGTACAGATCTGGCTAGGTGCCCCTCCCATTGCAGTGGCCACTGTCCTCCACAGCAATCTTTCTGAATAAAGCCATTCTTAGCCAAGTCCAGATTTTCTTTGACAACAGTATGTGTAACTTGTTACCTCCATATTGTATATCTCAATACACATTAGAATAAATTTTCTACTTTGTTAATGCCCGAGGCAGAATTCTTACCTTGGTGACCAATTCCTAAGGTCATAATTCAAAGCGTATAAAATATTTTTTACCATGTGATTCATAACCATCAAGCTTATGTTAGCAAGACTGAATACTAGGTGCCCTTAAGACGGATGACCAGATTAGATGATGACAATTCATGGAGAGTATCCACCATAGGCAATGAGTCTATGAGAGATGAAATGTGAGAGAAGAGGGGCTGAGCATTGTATCTAACACAGTGACAGAAGGAGGAAAATCAGAAAGCTGAAAAAGGAGGCATTCTGACAAGGTCCTGGAGGACAAAGCGGAATAAAGGGGATTAATAAAAATACCATCACAGGAAACACCAAAGAGAAAGCTGATAGAGGTGATTAGAAAGTGGTAGAAGAGACATTACTGAAGCGTGATTCTAGTTAGTCTTAACAATAAAAATTCAGAGTCAGATGGAGGGTGAAAGCTGAAAGATCAGAGGAGCAGAGCAGCAGCCACTAGAAACTTCTTACCTCTATGAATCCTCAGATGAAATGGGGGCCCGTGATCCTGTTTCCACCCACCTTATTTTCCTGTCTCCACCTCCCTAGTGCTGGGATTAAAGGTGTGCATCACCATCACCTGGCTCGGTTTCTCTTTTAGACTGGTTCAATCTCGTGTAGCCCAGGGTGGCCTTGAACTCCCAATCTTCCTGCTTCCTCCTCCCAAGTGATAGGATTAAAGGTGTGTGCCACCACTGCCTGGCCTCTTGGTTAACTAGTAGCTAGCTCTGCCCTCTGATCTCTAGGCAAACTTTATTTGCCAGAACACAAACAAAATATCTTACAACACAGGACCAATTTAAGTTAATGAATTTAACAAGTTGATGTCAGGCAAAGGCCCCATATATATCATCAGCATGATTGGCTGAAGAAATACTGAAAACAGCCTGACTATATATCAATTTGATCTCCTATTTCTCCAGGTGAACTATTACTAATGGTACCTAAAATGCTGGTTCTAGTAAAGAGTTGTGGCATATGAGCACCTCAGAGGAATTTGAGACAAGAGGAGAAAAATAAATGATGATTCATGCACCCCAGGCCCCCAGCAAGGCCATGGGGGTATTGTCAGAACCCAGGAATGAAACACCTACCAATTCTATACAACTCCTCAATCTATGTCTCTCACAGCCCCTGAAGACAAGTGTTTTTCTGCAGTCAGAGCCTGTGTCCATTCAGAGTAGACACTGTTCACTTGTGATTTTCCAAGTGTGAAAAGCATGAAGTTCCGCGGGGTGCTGAGGTCTCTTCGCACTTAGCTGAGAGGTTCAGTGTGCTTGTCCCTGCACTTTTACCTCATAGATTTAATGTGCTGAGGTCTCTCTGCATGCTTCCCTGGTAGAATTCATGTGCTGACTTCTCCTGGTACCTCCCTGGCAGGTTTACTATATTCTGTCACGATGCCCTTTTGGAGTGGAAGAAGGGAAGAAAAAGATTGGGATCGAAAGACTGCTGAACTCCGGCACGTACTTATCTGCCTATCCACTCCACGATGTGAGTATCAGCGACCGCCATAATGCAGAGCCCATTCCCTCTCTCACAGTCAGAGCCTGCCTTCCTGGGGGGTGGAGCAATTGTCCAACGTCTTTCGATTTCTTTCTGAACTGTTTAGTTTTCCTTCACAATGGGAAATCTTCCAGATTCCCTGCTTCCAGCCTGAGATGTGCACTTGCAAGGCTAACGTGTTCTCAGTTCCTTTTCGTGCTGGCACTTCAAATGCAAAGTCTTTTTAATGGTCATTTATATTTGCACACAATATTTTCTTTAGTAGCTATTCTGGAAATAGTAGTTACATAAAAAAAAATTGGATGACATGTTACTCAGAAATTTCTATCACATCTTTTCTCATAGATTTTGAATTTTTTAAAGAGCAAATGCACTCATGCTTATCCATCAAATGTAGAACTGGCTCCAGTCACAAGGAAAACATTTTTGCTGGCTAATATTTTCACACAACCATGAATTCAAGTTCAGAGATCAGGGATTGCCTGAAATGAAGCAGATGTCTAGCTGAGGGTGCTGAGGATGTCAGTCATCAGAAGTATTTTCACTAACAACCAAAATTCCAAAGACTTTTTCTTTGGGATTGATGACTCAATGCACAAAAATAGGGGGCCTTACGTGTTCCACAAAAAAGTAACTGTTCCAGGTGCTGAACCTAGTTGTCAAGCCTGATAATAGCTTGGCAACCTGGGGCGGGGGTGGGTGGGGGCGTTTGCGTTTGAGTGGTGAAGTGCATTCAGTTTCACCATGGCTTCATGGTAGAAATCATGTAGCTGGAGATGTCTATTCTACTTTGAGACCATCCTTTGGCTCTCATTTCTGTCTCAGTTGCTCTGTCCTAGCTGGAAAAGACTTTTGTATGATATTTCCTGCAAGAAACACATCCCTCAGCAAGGGGAAGAAACAGATATTTCCATTGGAGCAAACGGGAGAGATTTTTCTCCATTTTGATTACTGGTTGTTTGATGGCTGCTCTGCTGAAGTGGTATTTTTCCTATTTTTATTTTATTGAATATAGATTTTTTTCATACACTATATTCTGGCATGGTTTTCCCTCACCCAAAGTCCTCCAAGATCCTCCATACCTCTCCTTCCATTCAAGTCCACAGCCTTTCTGTCTCTTATTAGAAGTGACTTTTAAAGGCCTTCAGCCAAACTTTTCCATGTGACTTAAACTGCAACCAACCAATCTGCATTGTGAAATAGGACTGTAAGCTGGCTCTGCAAGGATGACTGTGATCTTCTGTAGGCTGCAACAGCAATTTCATAGAAGTATTTTCCCCTTTTAACTCACATGAGATCCTTTAATGTAAAGGAAGAGAAACTGTCCATTCTCTATTGCCTCCCACCCCAAGATGGCCACAGTCTTCCAGAGAAGAACAGTATGGGGATTACAGAGTCAAGATACCAATAATACAGAAAGATCCTGTTAGATTAGTACGCATGTTGCCAGGCATTCTATGTCTGTCTTTCTTTATAAAGGTGATTATGTCTTGCACACGTTGAGGATTTTTGTTCTTTTACTTACCTGCAGGACATTGATTCTTTTAACACATTGCCCTGTTATAAATCCATCTCCTGCCATGGTCTCGGGGTATTTTAACCTGTACATCCAGCCTTTCAGCACAGCCTCCCTTGTTTATTGGAAATGAATAACGCTGAGTTGTTTAGAAGCAGCTAGACTTCATTATCTTTGACATCTGTAAATTTGGAAGTGGTGGGATTCCTCTTGTGTGCTTTTTAGAGTGGTGTTTTACACCATCCCCAAATACCACCCTAAGGACACTGTCTTTAAGTTTCACTTCTCCAAATTCAGTGGTATTATCTACAGAACAACAAAAGCTTGAATTAGTAGGATATAAAATATCATACTTTATCATAAATCTTCACTTGTGTTAAACTTGAAGCTGGATATTCACTCTATCCTCAGCAGTCCTTAAGTACACATAATTTTTTTTGATGGGTTAAACAGCTACTGGTATAAGTAGTACTTTGCTTACTAGGCCAACTTAATAAATAAATCACTCTGACTGTGGGTTTTTGGATAATGTTAGCAAATGATTTCACGTGAGTGGAATATAAATTGGAAATCTATGAGTAAAAGATGGTGTCACCTTTGTCCACTGGCCGCCGGTCCAGAGGCCCCTCCCCATCATCTGTGTCTCTTGCTTTCTTCTCTTACACTCTCCTTGACTGTGCACAGGGCCAGTATTGGAAGCCATCAAGAACTCCTACTCACATCAATGAGAGGTACATCCTTCGCCAGAACTGGGCTCGGTTTTCTTACTTTTACAAGGAGCAGCCTTTAGATTTGATTCGGTAAGTACATTTAGCATTGTGGCCATTAAAAGCCAGTGTGTCCGCAGTTCTACAGCAGGCTCTGATCACTGCCTTTGTGACAGTGTCTCATCGTTCCTCTCTTTACTATTAATTTTTCATTTGGAAGAAGGTAGTTGTTGACACCATTTATAAGAGGAAGGATGCAGCATGGCTATTAAGGGTCAAGACCTAGCATTTAGCCAGGACATGATCAGCCTAATTCCCACTTTGTATAAGCAGCACACACTTGGTCATGGTACTGAAATGATATGTGGTTCATCTTTAACATGGAAATGATACTTTATTTCCTTTGAGAATGTGATGTGATTTGTCTACATTTTAGTTTAAGTGAGTATACTAATTTTGTTTCACTCCCCAAGTAAAAGAATTTAGAATACAGGAGAAAGTAGTCTGTAAATGTTGATGTGTTGACCTCAGAGATCTGTAAAGTTCTTGGTTCTATAATTTTAAATTTTTAAACATGCATGCAATCAATATACAATAAATAATAGAATCAAAGGATATATGTGAATGTTTTTAATTACTCATAACTTTTCTGTGTATTTGAAATTGGTTCCAAATGAGAACTATAATAAAAAAGAGAGCTCAGAAATACTCATATATAATAATGACTTGATTCTCAGCAAAAATGATTAAGAAGTCCATGTGAGAAAAAGGCAGTTGTGAGAGTAAATGAAATTGACACAGGTGGATGAACATGTACAAGATGTGTATCTGGACCATTTCCTGTGCACAAATATGAATATAAATTTAAATTAATCAGAGAAATACATATCATATCGAAAATTACCAAAACAAAAAATTAAGGGTATAGAAGAGAAGAATCTCTATGTCTTGAATGGGGCACAGACTTCTCAAATCGGACAGAACACACAATATAAAGAGTGTATTTGATTAAAGACATAGTACAGCCTGAAAAATGTGTATAATAAACATATCAATAAAGTACATTTATCTAAAATATCAGAGAGACTTATGTGATAATGTAGAATTTGACAAGAGAGTATAACAGATGCCTCACCAGAGAATTATGCTTATGGATGACAGCAGCACACCAGGAAACCTTTGTGTAGTCGTCCACAGGGAATCTTGTGAAAAGGAATTAAAGAAAAGTTTAGGGCCAGTCATAGTGGTGTGCACCTTTATTCCCAGAACTCAGAAGGCAGAGGCAGGCGGATCTCTGAGTCTGAGGCCAGCCTTGTCTACAGAGTGCGTTTCAGGGCAGCCAGGCTTAGGCAGTGAAGGAAATCATCAAAAACAGAAAGCAGGGGAAAATGTATCTGAATGAGGGAGGCGTGTTCCAAATCCAGCAAGCAGTAGAACTTGGCAGTTTCAGTCACGTGTTTTTGGCTTTAGAGTCAAGGATAGAAGAAAGAGGTTATAGAATGTCCACTTGTGACTAAGGAAAGCTGCTGAGGCCAGGCCTGTGTCAGGGGTGTCCCTGCATGGAGGCCCAGAGAGGCCATTGTGTGAGGCTGTGAAGGCGAAGCCTCAACTGCCTTGAAGACCCCAAGGAAATGCCAGAGTTGTGGGATATTTGCCAAGGAAAGCGGCTCACAGGGAGTGAACCAGCCCACAAGAAAGAAGTGAGGTAAAGTCAACAAAGCTGAAAGGAGTTGGAGATCTGAAGAACGTTTGACGTATATGGCGATGCAGAGTTGGGAGTTTGCCTAGCTGGTTTTCGGTCTTGCTTTGCTCCAGTTTTTCCTCACTATGCTCCATTTTGGAATGGTAGTCTATATTCTGTGCCACTGTATATTGGAAGTGTATGATCTACTTTTTCATTTTGATTTTATAGGGGATTACAGTTAAGAGTTACAGTTAAGACTTTTAAACAGGGTAGAGACTGATAGACTATGGGGACTTTTGAAGTTGGATTAGATGCATTTCTGTATTATGATGTGGCTAAAAGTCTATGGGGGACAAGGAATGGAATGTGGTTTGAATGAAAATGGCCCCCATAGGTACACAGGGAATGGCACTATTAGGAGGTGTGGCCTTGTTAGTGTAGGAGTTGGAGAAAATGAGTCACTGGGGATGGGCTTAGAGGTTTCAAATGCTCAAGACAGGTCCAGTGTCTCTCTATTCCTGCTGCCTGCTGAGATGTAGAACTCCCAGCTACCTTTCCAGTACCATGTCTGCCTGTGTGCTGCCATGCCTCCCACCGTGATGATAATAGACCAAACCTTTGAATATAATCAAGCCCTGACTAAATACTTTCTTTTATAAGAGTTGCTATGGTCATGGTGTCTTTTCACAGCAATGGAAACCCTAACCAGGACAGTTAGAAAGCTATCTTTATGACAGAACTATGGGAACCGGTGGGTGACTGGATGTAGAGAGAGGACAAATAGAGAGGATTCCAATGAATAATCCTACTCTCTCAGATATCACACAACTCATGTGAACTCTATACCATGTCCAAATATTTTTAATTTTTTTCTGCAATTTACAGTGATGATTTTTTCATACTCTAAGGAAAATATTAATGCCAGCATTGCTGTCATGGGTGTCTTCATCTCCAGCTGCATGTGCTTCGTTAGCACCTTTTCCTGTGCAGCTTCACAGCTTCCTGTAATTTCTCTTTCATGTGCCTATTGCTCTGTCGTGATGCTCAGAGACAAAACTGGCAACTGTTTCATACTAAATAACTTAGAATAAATAGATCAGCAATGACTCTAATGGTATGTTCATAACACCATAGCAGTGGAGTACCTGATCCTCAGGTGCCAATGAACTTACACGCAAAGGAATTATTTCAGAATAGATATTGACTTTTGTTCATTGATTCCTCAAGGCTTTATTCCAATCAGTTCTACCTAACGTCTTCATGTTATTTCATCACAGACATCACTACAATACCTCCTCTGTCTACAGAGGGTATATAGACAGCACGAGTCACAGCTCTCCCACGGAAAATGAACATCTTAAGAAATGCCATATACACACCCCTTTTATAAGAGGACTTAGAATAATGGAATGTTTGTGTATTTTAGTCTTTTAAGTATTTCTTATATTATTAGATTTTTGTTACAAATAGTGAAAAGGTTAATGTCTTAATACTTAATATTAAATGGTATTTCAATTATCTACATTTTTACTATAATACAAATGATGTGCCTTTCGCTTTCAGTGCCCTCAAATAAAGGTGTAGTTGGACCAGCCCCTGGTGGCTCAGGTCTATAACCCTAGCTACTCAAGTGGCTACGGGAGGGATCACAAGTCAAGGCCTGCCTGAGGTACAGTCTAAACTCAGGGCCAGTCTGGGCAACTTTGTGTGGTCCTGTGTCAAAACTGCAGCAGAAGCTGGAGCGATGCTCAGCAGTTAAGAGCATCTGCTGCTCTTCCAGAGGGCACAAGATCAACTTCTAGCACCCACATCTGAGCAGTTCCGGGACAACCACCTGTAACTTCAGATGAGGTCATCCAGTGCCTGTTTCCAGCCTCTATAAGCACTACCCTTCTGTGCACAAGTCCAAAGACACATACACACCCATAATTAAAATTGAGACTAGTCAAACTCACAGAAAACAACACCAATGAAGCCATGAATGGGGGCAGGGGGTGTAAAGTTGGGATGAAGGTTAAGAAGGAGGGTTAAAATAATCAGAATGTACATTTTACATGTATGAGATCGTCAAAGAACAAACTAACAAACAAAAGGAAGAAAAGTAAGATGAGGGCCATGACTGCAGCCTGGTGTGAAGACACTTGCTTAGTATGCGAGTTACACATACACAAAGGTTAGTTGTTATTCGGTGCTTTTAAGTTTATCCATCAAGTCCACAGTTCAGTAAAAACACTTCCTATGCTTCCTCATTTTGTAAACAATAAATTCTCTTTTGCTTCCACTTAGGAAATGGTTCAGCAATTTCCTACATTGAGACTATTTTAATAATAATTATAGGCCTACAGGCCTTTTAAATTTTTAATATCAAGGAAGATTATTCTTGAAATGTGAAAGGGAGGTGAAAGTGGCCATTTTCAGCTAGGCCCAAAAGTTGTCAAAGTAACCATCCGTGGTCTGATTTGAATAAAGGCCCACTCAATGAGAGGGAACCCGTGCTCGGCACTGCCTAAATGGCCAAGAGCCTGAGACTAGAGAGGTCAGCAACCTAGAGGAAAACTAAGTACTACTTGTCTGCTAAAGGAACATAGCAGTAAAATGACTCCCAATGACACAGTGTGCACTCACAGATCAGTGTCCTGCTCAGCCGTCATCAGAGAACCTTCCTTCTGCAGTGGATTGGAACAAATACAGAGACCCACGACTGCACGATATGAGAGACCTTGAAACACTCAGTCCCTAATGGGATGTCTCCATCAAATTCATCAGGGAACTCTGCGAAAGAAGCAAAAAAAAAAAAAAACTGTAAGAGCCAGAGCAGGTGGAGGACCCCAAGGAAACAAGAACTTGTAAACACAGCAAGACCATTGCACATGGGAATTCACAGGGACTGTGGCAGCCTGCACAGGTCCTGCACAGGGCAGGCAAGGTCCAAGAGTTAAGAGGAGGCATAAACGCCCGTTCCTAACCTAGAGATCATATCCAGGTGATAACTACTACAAAGGAAAAGTTAGTTTCCTCCGATAGAGACTCACTGGGTACACAAACCGTCCTTAAGGGCAGGCCCTATGCCCGGCACTAAGTGGCCATATCAAACCAGCTCTACAGTATTTTTTTGGAGGTTTTCAGTCTCACAGTGTTTTGACAGCATTTTTAATTGTTTATATTTATTTATTTTTGTTGTACAGGTCTTTTGCTTATGTAATATGGTTTCTGGTTTTGTTTTTATGTGTTTTCCGTGTGTGTGTGTGTGTGTGTGTGTGTGTGTGTGTGTGTGTGTGTGTATTTCTTCTGCTTTTCCTTTGGATGTTTTTTTTTTTCTGTCTGTTTTGTCCTATCCCGCTTTGTTTGTTTTTATTTTATCTTATTATTATTTACATTCCTCTTTGTATTCTAATGAGGGAGAGAGAAAGAAAAAGTGTGTATTCGGGTGAAGGGAGACAAGGACCTGGAAGGAGCTGGGAAAGAAGAACCATAATCAAAATATATGCTATGGGAAAAAATCGATTCCCAATTTAAAAAAAAAAAAAGAAATTCCAAATAAGGAAAAACAAACAAAAACCTAGTTTTTTAAGACATCCAGTTTCCTCATGGATTCCTGAGAATTCTTGTGCCTGTGGCAACATATGCTCACTGTACCTCCTAAGATAGATTCTTTAAACTTTAATGTGGCAAAGGAAGATCAAATAGAATATGTTTTAAAAAATTAAGTATTTAGTACTTAAATATCGTGCAGGCATCCGTTGCAACTCCAGCATGGCGGCGGAGGCTGAAGCAGGAGGATTGCTGAGAGTCCAAGGCTAGTCTAGGCTACAGAGTGTGACTATCTCAAAAAGGAAAGACAGAAAGAAAAATAGAAAAGAATATTAGTGTCTTTGGGTGATACTGATGCTGTGCGGTGCTATGGAAATTGCTTTACTCTTTAGTAAAATCTCAGAGAGATGCAGGTCCATTCCCATGTGCTGTGGGGAAGTGTCGACAGCAGATTGCTTAGGGACTGTGATAGACAGCATTTCAGAAAAAGCAAAAGCAGAACTGCAAAAAGGTTTCAAAGAAAACACAAGATGCAAGACACACAGGGAGACACCTTTGTAATTAGAAAGGTTTCACAAGCTGAAGAGTTAACGTGGGGCATGAGCAATCTACTTAAAATCTGCTCTAACCGGCCTCCCTGGGAGGTGACATTTATGTCCCTGTTGCTCACTCACTGTTACCTCCTCCCAGGGCAAACTTGGAAACTGCAGGTCACTCTCTGTAGTTCTCAAAGTATTGAGCAGAAAACTCTCAGACCCTCAGGGCGGTCGAATCTGTGGGAAGGTCACAGACTCGGTGATGAGTTCTCTGAGGCAGGGAGGGCTGTCCTCAGGTCTCTGAGGGTGGACGCAGCTAAACCTGGCTGTGAGGACGAGCAGGTGTCTGGAACGACACTGTAAACTTCTCCACTCTGTGAAGCAAGGGTTACAGTCACACTTGAGCGCCACCGGAGTACCCACTCCAACTGTTGAAAGAAGCAAGACAGTCGTCCAGGCAGATTATGTCTGCCACTTTAACTTGTCAGTTGATAGAGGCAACATTTCTTTGTTTAATAATTTGTTATAAATTTGTTTAATATTTAATAACTTACTTAAAACACATGGAAACTTTAAAATTCTTGATAGTTCTCAATACGATATTATTTAACATTTAAATTCTGTCCGTAGTGGTTTCCTTCTTACATAGCTATTTCTTTTCATCTCTACTACCATAAACTTTGCCTGCCAGTGCATCTGGCCCACCGTTTCCTCCCAGCCTCTGATTTTGTCTCTCTTTCACAGGAATTATTTTGGTGAAAAGATTGGTATCTATTTTGTGTTTCTCGGGTATTACACAGAAATGCTGTTGGTCGCAGCTCTGGTTGGCTTAGCCTGCTTCATCTATGGCTTATTATCAATGGAAAATAACGAAACTAGGTGAGCACAAGAGACTGGCCCAAATAGAGACTGCCTTTGTCCAAGCTTCTACAGCCTCCTGATTTTCCCCCACAAAATGCTTCCTTGTGGCAACAAGCAGTATTTTCAAAGCAGCCTCCCATGTAGTGCTTCTCCTTGCCAAGGGTTTTATGAAAACTGCCTTTTTGTGGTTGTTTTGGTTTTAATTTCACTTATTTTAACCTCATTTATTCTTTTTATTGTTTGAGAATTTTATAATGCATACAATGTGTCTTGATCAAAACTACCCCTACCCCTTCAATTCCTCCTCTGTGTTCCACCATTTTCCTTCCCAATTTCTTATGTTCACTTTAAAATGGAGCCCACTTGGTGTTGACCTCATATGCATGCATGGAGGACTATGTCCTGGAGCATGTGGCCTCTCAGGGGCCACATCCCCAAAGAAAACTGACTCTCCATTTACCAGCACCAGCCATCAATTGTCAATAGCTCTTCTGCTAGGGGTGGTACCTCATGACCTCTCGCTCCCCATCCATCCTAGCTGCTGTCTTGCTTGATCCTTCTTAGGTCTTCTATGTCAAACTGTTTTTTAAAATGTAGTCTGAGGAGTCTGTTCTCTAGACTGTGTAGGACTTATGCCACTATAGAAATATTTGCTTCATTCCCACATTTGTTGTGAGTGGAAGCTCATTAAACAGTGAGTCTGGTGAGAGCTGGTCAGATTTTTCACTCCAAACTACATTGCATTTTCTGTGACTTCTCTGGGTAGCACTGAAATCTGCGACCCTAACATCGGAGGTCGGATGATCATGTGTCCACTTTGTGATGAATTGTGTGATTACTGGAGACTGAACACCACATGTTTGCATTCAAAGGTAAGTGTGCTGTATGGTGGGATGAAGACTGGAGCTTCCTTCCTGTGGTGACCTGTTTCATATTAAGTGGTTTTTATGATGCTGTTGCTTTTACAGTTCTCCCATCTATTTGATAATGAGTCAACCGTGTTCTTTGCAATCTTCATGGGGATCTGGGGTGAGTACAAATTCTCCTCCAACTTAGCTGTCTTTTTATTATGACTGCTCATGAATTTGGAATACACTTTTCTTTTTTAAGACAGGATTTCATAAAGTGTAGGCTGGCCTTGAATTCTCTGTGTAGCTGAGAATGACCTTGATCCTCTTGCCTCTGCCTCCTAAATTCTGAAATTACTAGTGTGCACCATGACACAGAGTCTATGTGGTGCTGGCGATGGAACCAGGGACTTGGGCATGCTAGGCCAGCACTCTACAGATTGAACTATATCCCCAGCTCTTGGAACAAATATCTTTATATATTTATAGAATAACCTTCTAAGAATAATACTTAGCATGTGAATTTGTGGGGAAAATTTGTATTTACAACCTAAAAGCTTTACTATATTTTTATATGACTTACATAAAATTGGACTTTTACACACATTCTGATTTTAGTTTGTAACACTGGAGATGCAATTTGATGGATTAGGTATCATCTCATTTTAGTTTTGATTTGCAGTTATTTGGTCACAAATGTTTTTGATATTCACTGATGACTGGACCTCCTTTGCCACTGGAAGCATTTTTAGTGCTGTAATTCTTTGCTAGTATTTATGTAATAAGCAAAGAAATTCTTTGCACCATATATTTAAGATATTTCTAAACTCATCATTTACATTTGAGAAGCTTGATTATATAACCAAGCCATAAGCATTTCTTTCTAACTTTTCTTGTGTTGTGTGTTTCTCACCTAAGATGTGCACCCACACAGAGTTTATGCCAGAAATGCAGGGGTTTCATTTGACTCAGTCTTGACTGTAGTTTGACATATTCTGCAGTGTCCACTGTAGGGCAGATAGTGTTCTACCTGGCAGAGGTGGAAATGGGCCCATGCATTGCCTTTATCTCAAAGCAGGTACGCATGGACTCATGACTCCAGTCACTGGTCTACCAGTTTTAGGACAAGCATTCTTAAGGCTTTAGTTTCCAAAGTTTCAGGGCTGGGTGTGTTGTGTGCTCAAATACGTATTGAATACTGTCATTTCTCTCCCCTTTTCTTTTTATCTTCCCTTCTCCCTGCCCCCACCCCCCCCATACAGAGAACTGAACCTAGTTCCTCACACATGCTGCACAGGAATCTGTAACTACACTTCATCCCTGAGCCTCTTTTTCCTTTTTTATATTGAGTCAGGAAGTTACTCAGGCTGGTCTTAAACTTACTCTAACCAAAGCAGGCCTTGAGCTTGCCAGTTGCCTGCTTCAGCCTCCTGATCAGCTGAGAGGGCAGGCCTGTCCTCCATGGGGTCCAACAGCACTCTTTCTTGTATGGAAAAATATCAAGTCCTATTTAAGCTCAATCCAAAATGCACAAGCCAGGAGTTCTATAAATTTACAGAAATCCCCTTCCAAGGATATTCTTGGGATCCTTGTGGATTTATGTAATCTCAAGAAACCCATGGAAATCATGACTCTAGTTTGGGTTTTAGAATATATCTTTTCTATTTTCATGCAATACTCTTTTACTAGATATTTCTCCATTCCATCTTTTGTCCCTGCCTATGTTACCTTGTTTTCTTCATTTCTATTCAGAATTGCAAACTCTGACATGAGAAGGGTGTAACTGTTCAGTGTACCTAAGGTGTCACCACACCGCGGTCACCGAACGCTGTTTCTGAAATTCATACCAGCTGTTAGTGTTTAGCAAATGTCAAGATGAAATATTGTAACAGATTCTTTGCATGAGGAAGCAATGTAGACCATCTGGAAATTTACAGTTTTTAACTACTAAGAAGTTAACTTGAATATTCATAATGAATAATTTCTGTTACTACTTAGTGTTACAACGGTAGTCACTGATAAACACACCATAAAAAATTGTCAGCATTTCCAACTGACAACATATGAAGTGCTTGACAAACAAAATAATTAAAAACAGAAGTGGAAGTTTCTTTTTAAGATTTATTTTTATTATTTTCAATTGTATGTGCACACATGCACATGCATGTGCATGCCATATGTGCACATCAGGTGCCCAATGAGGCAAGAAGAGAGCATCAGATCTCCTGGAGCTGGAGTTAAATGTGGTTGTGAACCCCCAGATGTGAATGCTGGGGCCTGAACTAGATCCTCTGCCAGAAGAGCGGGCCCTCTAAACTGCAAGCCACCCCTTCGGCCCCTAGGGCTGCTCTCCTGCTACTTTTGTTTGGCCGTCTATTGATGGTCCCACCCCGGTGCTTTCTTCTACTGCAGTCACACTGTTTCTGGAGTTCTGGAAACAGCGACAAGCCAGGCTTGAGTATGAGTGGGATCTGGTAGACTTCGAAGAAGAACATCAGCAGCTCCAGCTGAGGCCTGAGTTCGAAGCCATGTGTAAACGAAAGAAGATAAATCCTGTAACGGAGGTATGGTAGACATGGAGTAGGGGTTTCTTCAGGGAACCCTCTGCTATCAGCTGCTCTGGAATAGTCATGTACCACTGATGCAGACCCACATGTGAGAGTTCTGGTTGTGCTCAAACACTAAAACCTATTGCCAGAAATGAAAAATTCCTGCCTCGTCATTTCAAATCTGTTAGAGCTAAATGAAATGAAAGAATCAGGGAGAATCTATACATACTTCTTGCCATAAAATCCAAATGTAAACACTCAGTCTATCTTTTATTTTGTTTATTTGTTTGTTTGTTTTTGATGAAGCCAAGTGGCATGCCTCTGTTGTCTTTTTATACTGTGAAATAGGAACCATCAACGGGCACTAGCACACATTAGCACACATCCGTTGGGTACACACAGGGACAGTGCAGAAGATTCTGTGTGCACACATGTGTGCACATCCTACATCTCCATAGAGCTCTTAGAAGGCTTCTCAGCCCAGAGAATGTTCTGTAGCTCTTGGTCCAACTTGAAAATCCATAAATGTGGACTCTTATATTTTGTATAATTCTGTGGTTTGCATGTTTTCTGACAGCTCTTCTTTACTTTATAGCAACCTTCGTAAATAAAAATACATGTTTGACTGTAGCTCAGAATGTCAGCGGATCCAATTAATATCTTGTATATTAAAGGCTGTGAAGACTGAGGTAGAAGAGCCTGACCTGTTGAGTTTTGGGTAGTAACCCAGAAAATTCATATGCTGTAAAGCAAGTAGGAAACATTCCAGATGGAATGAAGTTGTACCTCATCATGTATCAGTGGTGAGGTTTGGACTTTGTCTTGTCTCTGTCAGGCCCTGGAAGCCACCACAACCCAACACTTAGGAAGCAGGTTGCCTCATTAAGTCTCTCACCTCATGTGGGATGTCACTTCAGGGTCTGATGGCCTTCTCTTCAAGGGAAGGAGGTACTTGCCATGGACTATGGAATGAGAGAGCACTTTGTGAGATCTCTACCTTTAGCATACTCCTTGATCTTCCTACTGTCATTTGGAGTCCCAACTGTGAGGACAAAGTGTGACTTTGTTATTTCTCCAACATTACAGGAGTTGGAGCCACACATGCCTCTGTGCCACCGCATCCCATGGTACTTTGTGTCAGGGACCACAGTGGTCTTCGGGGTAAGCACCATTTTGGAACCTTTTACCATTTCTTTAGAACACAGTCCTCTATTAACCAGCATCTCTCCATAGCTCTGATGCATCAGCTCTTGGACCATTCCTGCAATGCCCCATTCTTCCTACATTGACTACACCTCTCACACAAAGCATGCCATAATTTACATAGATTTTCCCCAAGACTGAAATTTGTAGAAAGATGCGTGTGGCGGGGCGGAGGTGGGGAGGAGAGCAGAGTCCTGATTTCACAACCTGTCCCTGTCTGTCCCATTGACTGATACCTTGAAAACAAGGCAGAGTGTCAGGTTCATCTTCATTACAGTCTCTGGTTAGTGTTATCAACGTTACCCATTTGTCTTTATCTTCCTCAAAATATCTACGCATGTGACCAAGCAATTAAACTACTAAACTTCCTTTTCTTGTTGAAATAAAGAGAATAAAATCCAAGGAAGACATATCTATGGGAGGGAGTTGGTTTTTCTCCATATCTATAACTAATACATTTATCCACCCCAGTGATTTTTTACTTTCTTTTCCTTTCTAAATTTGTATACTTGTCACAGTTACCTTTTATTTTGGGGAAGAAGCTTGGGGGAGGGGGTAGCCCCTGAGAGAATGTCATATTGGGGTGTAAACAAATTAACTATTTTAGACTGTGGTTTAACTTCAGTGCATATACACTGTACTTTTTAACAGTTCTTATTAAAATATTTTTTAGTATCTTGAAGGAGTTAGTTGGGATATGTTTTCTTGGCTTACGTAACAACTTTTGGAAGAAAAATGTGAATGAAAGGAGGACCAATAGCCACCCCAGGATCAATTCTGAGAAGGGAACTTGGAGGCATGGCTCCAGGATGGTTGTTCTGTTTTCGTTTTCTACTTATCACTCAATGGGACTTGCTTCCTCAAATTTAAAATCAAGTTTTCTAGTCATTGAATTGATACAGAGCCACAGTGCTTTGCAATATACAATGCATACAAAATTGACGTGGGAACTACATAACGAAAGCCTAGATCATGTTTTGGGGAATTTTACCTGAAAGGGGGATTCATTAGTGGCAATAATAGTCTCTGGTTCAGAATTATTGTTTTTATTTTCTTTACAACATTAAAAATTAATCTATAGTGATAGAGATTTGATAGATAGAGACAGACAGACAGACATTATATACATGCATACATACATACATATATACGTATGTGGGTGGGTGAATGGATGGATAGATGGATGGATGGATGGATGAATTGATAGATGACAGGTGTAGCTAAAGATTCAGAAATATGGCTGTCATTTGTAAACACTGAGGAAATGAAGTAAAAAGTTGAATGTAGTAGTCACTTCTCACATTTTTATGATGAAGTAACTGGTAAGAATCAACTGAAGGGAAAGGGAGTTTATTTTGGTTCACAGTTCAAGGGCACCGTCCATCATGGCAGAGACTGTGTGGCAATGGGAGCTGGAGGCAGCTGGTCACATTGCATTCAGAGTCACCAAGCAAAAAGAGATGAATGTCAGTACTCAGCTCAGTTTCCCCTTTTTATCCTGTCCAGATCCCAGACCCATAGAGTGATGTCACCCCCGGTTAAGACAGGTCTTCCTGTCTCAATTAATCTAATCTAGATAACGCACTCATCGTCCTGTCTCCTATCACGTTGACAATATTTTCTGTCACAATGGGCAATGGTTTTCCCCTATTTTATGCTTAACCCATAGCCACCAAATGACTTCTCTTTAAGCCCTCTGCCTTGTGGTGACTTCTCTGATGCCTCTATGGTCAGAGGAGTCACTCTGCCTGAGCGGCTGCTGAGCAGTATGACAAAATGGGAAAACGGCACATGCAGTGGCTCTCGGTTTTCCCCTCAGATGGCTCTCCTCCTCAGCAGCATGGTGTCCATCATCGTGTATCGCCTGTCATTCTTTGCCACCTTTGCCACCTTCATGGAAAGTGAAGCCACCCTGCAGAATGTGAAGAGCTTCTTCACCCCCCAGATGGCCACCTCTCTCTCCGGATCATGCCTGAACTGCATTGTCATTGTGATCTTGAATTTTTTTTATGAGAGGATATCTGCCTGGATTACAAAAATGGGTAAGCTGGCCAAATTACAAAAGTGATTGAAACACCGGTTTCGGCCAACACTACACATCCAGCTTTGGACCCTCTCCCAGGGAAATGGCCTCTGAAAATCACAATTTTCAGGCTGCTTTGTTCAGAGTAGATCCACACCTGATTCTTTAAGAATTCCTTAATACCCACTGTAGACAGAAGGTTTCCTGTGTCCTTCCTGGTCCCGCAGGCACTCGGTCCCAAGTAAACACACAGTATGACCTATGGCTCTGGATTCTTCATAGCTAGCTCTTTCATCTTAAATTAACCCATTCCTATTAATATGTTTGCTGCCACGTTGCCGTGGCATTACCCGTCTGCTGGGCATCTTGTTGCTCCTTTAGTGGTGGCTGGCGTCTCTGCATCACGGTTCGCATGAGAGACACAACTAGGAAGCTGTTCTTGGCTCCATTTTAGAACCCCTTTTTAAAGCTTTCTTGGGTTTGAGGTGGAAATTCTTGCCCCACGTTGGAACGCCAGTTATTGCACAAATCCTAAATGGTCTTCTAATAAAAACCCAGAGCCAGAGATAGACAAGGCTAGCCACTTAGCTAGCAGTCAAGGGCATCCCTCTCACGGCTCCACGCCAAGGCAAGCAGCAGGCAAGCACTTTTGGAAGCAGCCCTTGCATCACCTTCAAATCTTGTGTTCTCAGTCAAGTTTACTTTTTCTCTGGGCAAGAGCAAGTGAGTGAATCAGAGCTGGTAAGGTGCTTTTAAAGACACCAAAAAGGCATGGCCTTCTTCAGTGAAAATTATCCCTGAGCTCCCGGCTGAGATGTTTTTAATCAATTCAGCCAAGCTTCACCAAAAGGAAGTTATCTGTGTCCTTAGAATATTTTGTTCTCTTCCTGAAAGTGTCATGGGAGTGTCTGCATCCGCTGTTCTACTGGGAAATCACTAACTCATGGAAGAAAGTGTGTTCCCTTACTCTTGCACTCCTCACAACGCTCTAACAGTCTTTGGAGAGAAATTAATAGTTTCTTATCTTTAGAATCTGTTAAACTACAAACCACAACTGCATTTTAATTAAGAAAAGAGAAAGCACATGCTATCTCTGCCAGCATTTACAGGCACAGTTTAGTTCATGAGAAGGAAGCACAATATAGTTAGAAACCGTCTCAGCCCTTGACATAAGCTTACCTGGTTTACACCAGCTTAACCAGGAGCAAAGGAGAGAGAAGCATGATGGGACTTGCTGCAGTGTCTAGCAGTGATGGCAAGGGGCACATCCAATTTTGTAGGGATTCAAACCCCACACTCACACTGTCTTATACCTAGAGAAATCCCCACCCTTGAAATGTAGTGACTGCTTCCTAGGCTCTCCCGGCCATGGGGTCAACACAGCATGACCAGCAGGAAGCTAGCACAAACACATAGCTCTTCAATATTGCTCAACTGAGATCAGAATGAGGAGCATGTTCACACACTTTGAAATGGTATGCTTCGATAGCCACTTCTAAGTACAGCATTCAGGGAAAGTGCATTTATCCTTGGTGATTTTTATTGGCAGAAATTCCTCGAACTTACCAGGAGTATGAGAGCAGTCTCACTCTGAAGATGTTTCTCTTCCAGTTTGTGAATTATTACTCGGCTTGCTTTTATGTGGCCTTCTTTAAAGGGAAGTTCATGGGCTACCCTGGGAAGTACACATATATGTTTAACGTATGGAGAAGTGAAGAGGTAAGGACTCTCTTCTAGCTCAGATCTATGGTCTCAGATAATTAAGGCCCACCTTTCTCCCTAGCACTAACTCAGACATTGTCGAGTTGTAGAAGTCCCGACATTGGCTCCAACCATTGATCCGTCTTATCATCAGTTAGATTTTTGAGTTTCCTTTGAGCAAGAATTTGTATGAAACCTGTCTTGTTTCATTTTCTGTTGCTATGATAAAATACTGTGGCAAATGCAACTTAAAGGAGAAAGGATTTCTTTTCTCTCACAGTTCAAGAGTATAGTCAGTCGTTCATGGCAGGAAAGTCAAGGCAACAGGCACTTGAAGCAGCAGGTCGCATGGAATCCACCGTCAGGAGTCCGAGATCAATGAATGCCTGTGGCTGCTCAGTCCCCTTTCTCCACTTACACAGTCCAGGATCCCATCTAGAGAGTGGTGTCACCCACAGTGGGCAGGTCTTCCCTCTTCAATTACTATAATAGAAATGATCCTCCATATACATGTCCAGAGGCTCATTGCCCAAGTGATTCTACTACATTCTAATAGGGTGACAGTTGACACTGATCTTCAAAGAGCCTATGATCTGGCAGTAAAATATAGAGTAAGTAGAATAGAACTTTTATTCTTGAAAACATCCTGCAAAGGGTCAAGAGTCAAGAAATGGTTCTTCTGTGGTCTGGTATACATGACCAATGGTTTTCAAATTGATCACATGGAAATTATACCACCTTTTAATCCTAGCCTAGACATAAGGATTCACAATTTTCTAAGACTCAGAAGTCTGTATATCTAACATAGTCCACAAATGGGTATGATGCAGCTACCCTGGTAGTAGTCCATGGTCTATGGGACTGAATGGCTCCCAAATCCCATCATTGCTTCTGATGACCATATTATAACTCATTACTATACTTTCTTGAGTTTCTGATATTCCATATATTGCAAAATTCCATTTCTCCTCCTCTATCTCTGTTTTCTCCTCTCTTGTTTCTGAACAGTGTGATCCTGCAGGCTGTCTGGTAGAGCTGACAACCCAGCTAACCATCATCATGATTGGGAAACAGGTTTTTGGAAATATCCATGAAGCCTGTCAACCGTACGTATGACTCACACATTGCATGTTTGATTTAAATAACAGTGCAAGAAGACGGATATATATATATATATATATATATATATATATATATATATATATGTTACTATCATGGTATCTTTGTGAGAAAATGTCTAAGCAAATGGGAACAACTCATGTTTAATGAACAGTGTAGAATGCCTCTGGTAATAGAGGTTTTTGTTGTATTTATTTAATTGCATAGCCATCAAAGCTTTTCTTCTAGGCCAGGAGATGGTACATGACTTTAATCCCAGCACTTGGAGAGGCAGATGCAGGGAAATGTCTGAATTTAAGGGAAGCTTGGTCTACAGATTAAGTTCCTGGACTGCCAGGGCTATATAGATTAACCCTGTCTCAAAAAGTGTGGTGGTGGTGGGGGGTTCTTCTTTAGTTCCCCTTTAGTTTTATTATCAATTGACAAATAACTCTTACATATACTCACTCGTGTGTACATATTTACTGACTGCAGTGTGATGTGTCAATACAGGCCTTTTTTTTTTTTTGTATGTTTTTGAGATACCGTCTAACCATGTGGCTCTGGCTGGCCTGGAGCTCATAACTCATGGAGATCTGTCAGCCTCTGCTTCCTGTAGCGTTGGGATTAAAGACATAAGCCTCACCCCCTATGGTGCTTTTAAGTGACTATTTCTGCTGTTGAGTAAAGTGGATTTAACTGGAGACTCACTGTATTAGATCCCCAGTAGGATATTCTGCATGTTGCATATTATACTTTTGTAATTTAATTTTTTTAATATAAAATTTGTGGTGATTCTTTGAGAATTTCATGCATGGGTATACTGTACTTTAATCCTATTCAGTTCACTCTCCCCCTAACTCCTCCTAAATCCACTACTATCCATCTCCCCATCCACTTCCCACATCCTAGACTTTCTTTCACTTTTCTTTTGCTATGGTTCCCTGAGCTCAGTTTATACTCATAGGTATATGGCCACGCACTGGAGGTATGTGGCCCTACCAGGGGCCACAGTTTTAAAGACTCCCTCTCCCAGAAGCGATCCCCACACTACCATAATCTACCTTATATGGTGTGGAATTTGGTTGGTCAGTGGTTTGTAGTCTTATTGCATGTACTCAGATAAGCCTCTGCTTTTCCTTTCGTGTACACTTTCTACGATACTTAATTTCTCACTTCTACAAGTGTTTCCTGAGCATTGTAGTGGTGTGGAGACTGGCTATTGCCCCCGGCACTAACCATCTCCTTCAGATGCTCTATCAACCTGACTGTCTCTGAGTGAGCGCTCTTCTTGTCAGCAGGCAGAGGCAGATCGCTTGCCTTCTCCTCACCTCTGTACGTGGCGAAAACAGCACTAGGTTTTCATTTGGACTTTATCTCCTGTTGCGCTAGGTTAAGGTGCTTAGCCTCCTCCCTTTCTGACCGTTTCCAGACTTGACACACTGGCTCTCTTGCTTCTTTCTCCAAGTGTCAACTTTTATCATTTCTAACAGCCTGATTTTTAATTGGTGGAGACGTCGAAAAACCCGAACCCACTCTGAGAAACTATACAGTCGCTGGGAGCAAGATAATGACCTTCAGGTTTTCGGACAACTTGGGCTGTTCTATGAGTACTTGGAAACAGGTAAGTTCCAATCATGATTCTGAGGCAGCAATAACACTAATAAAATGAATAGTTTCCATCTCTCGCAATTTCTTTCTTTCTTTCTTTCTTTCTTTCTTATGTATAGTAGATGTTTGAATTACTGAATAAAACATAGGTGAACGGTTGGATAGATGGTGGATATATGGATAGGTGGCAGATGGATGGATAATGATAGATATGTGAATAGTGGCAGATGGATTGATGGATGGATAGGTGGGTTGTATATGTGTAGATGAATGGTGGGTAAGTGGATGGATGGATAGGCATGTAGATGAATAGATGGCAGATGTACACACACATATGAAAGAAATAAAGATAGATATTTTGATGGTGGAGAGATGTATAGATAGCAGGTGAATATATATATATATATATATATATATATATATATATATATTCAGATGGCAGGAATATGTATATAGGATAGCAGATGGATGGAAGAAGATACAGGGACATGAATCAATGGAAGATAAATGAATGGATGGTGGTTGGATATATGAACAGATGAAAAAAATGATTCAGTTTTCCTTTGTTCCCTTAGAGAACTAGTGCTCAGGTTGTTTGTGTGGTCTGCCAAGGCCACTTCTGCTCACCAATATCCCCTGCTTTGATGAAACTATAGAGGGCAATTTATGTACTTACTATCAAAATCCTGGTGCAATAAAGGTGATCTGAAAATGACTAAGTAATTAATATTTATCATATATGCTATATATTTTATCTTAAAAATCTGCTGATGTGATAGAAAACATTTTTATCCTTCAAGATAAACCAGCGTTACCATAATGTACTTTATATTGTATGCCATTAGTTGGGTAATAGTGTGTACATTGTTGTATAAAACGATGGGAATTCTTGTTTCATGCAACTCAGTATACAATTAAGTAGTTCTTGCTTTCGAGAGTGATGAAACAGTATTTTTTTCACTGTGGAAGTTCTGCATGTATGTGTATATACAGGCAGAGGAAGTTAGTACTGACATGGGGGTACGAAATAGTATTTATAGCAAAATTAGCTTCTGTGTCTTGAGAGCCAACCAAGACTTAGTTTACACTGAAAACTCTCACACCTTCTTCTAGTTAGGAGATAACTGTGCAGTGAATTCATTGGCGGACTGTATTGTATTTATTTTTGGTGTTGAAGATACTGAAATTAGATAGACAAATCAGTTTTCTAGGTAAAGCTGTGACACCTTGAAACCCACATTGCTTCTCCCTCAGAGTAGTTGTAGGTTCCTTAAAAAGAGTGAGGAACGGATCAGTGTTGCTTGTTCACTTCATCATGAGGCAGGTGAAAAGAGGTGAGGGTCTAAGTGGCAGGAGCTAGGTCGAATGGCCCTTCGTCTCCTTGGTAATGATGGCTGACTTGTGTCTCTCCAGTTATTCAGTTCGGGTTTGTCACATTGTTCGTGGCCTCTTTTCCCCTGGCCCCCCTGTTTGCTCTCATGAACAACATTGTAGAGATCCGCGTGGATGCCTGGAAGCTGACGACTCAGTATAGGAGACCTGTCGCTGCGAAAGCTCACTCCATAGGTGTCTGGCAGGACATTCTCTATGGAATGGCCATCCTTTCTGTTGCAACTAATGTAAGTGCCTCTTTCCATGGGGTGATTTCGCCCTTCCTTTTCTTTCTGTGGGGTGGCTGAGCATGAATGACACCTGACTCAATCCTCATTGGCACCAATTTCATCACAGTGGGGATTTGTAAGGACAAGCCACCCTCAACTTTATTTTCTGATCAAGAACAATAGGAAGAAAATAATATTTTCCCATTGGAATTTCGTGATGATAGTGTCTTACAGATTGTGCTAATCTAGTCAGAAAACCAGTGACAATATAATATGTTTGAACAATGGAGTCAAAGATGGATTATACACAAATATGTATAATATAGAGTATAAATTTACTTACTTTTACTTATAAAATGATTTTTTAAACTAAATTTCACAAACACTAATTTTATAACCTTCATATTCATCTAAAATTATGTTTTATCAATTGAAGCTTTTACTGAGATAATCAAAAGGAGATTTGACAACTGAATATGTGTGATTTATTTTAGAAAGCTTTATGTTAAGGAAACATGGTTGAAATTGTAGAGTTCAAATACAGTGGGAGCATGAAGAAATGAGGTGGAGCACAGTTACAGAAAAATCCATGGCTGGTAATGCTCTTTAAAAACCAAAACAGAAAAACCTAACCTAAGCATGTGACTTCAGCCACCAAAGGAAAACTTAGAGACACAACACGCAAATAGAAGCAGTAAAGAAATTAAAATCAAAATTAATAATAGTCAACTTAAAAGATAAAATAATAATTAACATAAATACTGAGTACAGAAAGAGTTAGTTTGCTAGAAAAAAAAGACACAAACAAAACAAACAAATGCCAGGAGGTGGTGGCACACACCTTTAATCCTGGCACTCGGGAGGTAGAGGCAGGTGGATCTCTGTGAGTTCAAGTCCAGCCTGGTCTACAGATTGAGTTCCAGGACAACAAGGACTACACAGAGAAACTCTGTCTTGAAAAAAACAAAAAATAAAATAAAACAAAACAAAAACCCAAACCCATTAAAACAATGACAGCCTGCTCTGTACCAGATTTAAAATTTTTTTTGAAATGACCAATATTAGAAATAAAAATGGCGGATGTATTCAATAAGCAACAGAAATACCAAATGTCCTTGTAGTCACAGAAGTAACAGAAATGGCTTTTAAAAAATATATCACTAAATGCACAGGTGCCAGAGTCAGACAGATGGTTGTAAATGCACTCATGTAGTCTAGAATAAACAAACAATTTCTGTGACCATTGGAATTAGAAAAAATAGCATCACCATAGATGAAGTTCTGAATTATTAATTGTAATAAGCTCCAAGAAAGCGCCAACCCACACTTTTTCCTTTAATTCATCAGCCTGCTATAGACACACTCAATACACATACACAAGGCACAGATGCACACAGACACACAGAAAGACACAGCCATAAATACACACTGGTATATCCATACATTAATATACACAGATATACACATATATAAGCACATACACACAGATTTTATGGATATAAACAGACACACACAAATACAAATAGAAACACACACATCGATACAAAAACACAGAGATACAGACACATAACTTCCCCTATCCCCCACCTGTCTCTCTCCTAGCCCAGACAAGGGAATTTAAGGAGAATGAATGTGTCAATGAGGATCATGAGCCATGACAAGACCAAGGAGAGAAAGAGAGCATGCTTTGGGGCAGCAAATACACATAGGTTCAATTCCTGACTTAGCTATTTTGTAGCTATGGAATTTTGGAAGATCAATCCCAGTCTACCCATGAGCCTTCGAATGTTCTAGAGTGGTATTTAAGTCATCTCATGTTCATGTGGCTCACAGAAGTTTGCTTGCATACAAGTCAGACTTGGAGCACTGGGCTGGGCTCATCATTGTCCTTCCTCTTTGTCCATCAGGCCTTCATTGTTGCGTTCACATCTGACATCATCCCGCGGTTAGTTTACTTCTATGCCTACTCATTGAATTCCACGGAGCCCTTGAGTGGGTATGTCAACAACAGCTTGTCAGTGTTCCTGATAGCCGACTTCCCCAACCACACAGCACCGGCGGAAAAGAAAGACTTCACCACTTGCAGGTCTCCTCTGTCTATAGTCTAGCATTGTGCTTTTAATATCTTCCTTAAATTATCTTTTCCCTAATGTTTGCCTTATCATGTAAAAGGTTTGCTTGAGACAACACATTTCCTGGGTTAATACCATGCATCAGTTCTGGAATTCATCCATCATATGACCTGGCAGACTATACAAAAGGAAGGAATATTATGGGTGGAGGTCATGTTATTTTTAAATAGCTTCTTGGTTTTGAATTGCTAATACAAGCTTCCTGGACTTGAACCATGTCATCTACCAGTCAGTATGGTTAATTTAGTGAATTTTAACCATTTATCCCCAGAAAATACACCAAGAAAATAGAGATAACAAAGTAATAATGGGACCTGTTCACCAGTATTCTACTTAAAGGTTTTTCAGGTAGAATGTGTGAGGTGGGATTTGTGAACTGTTATTACCACACCCAGTGTTTCATGTTCTGTGGGGATCTTTATACCATAGAATATGAAAACAATAGTCAGTAAGTAGGTGAGTAGATAATAGAGATAATATAGATGATAGATCACTGATAAAGATAGGCAGGTGGTTGGATGGATGGATTGGTAGATAGATAGATAGATAGATAGATAGATAGATAGATAGATAGATAGATAGACAGATAGATAGACAGATAGAGAGATAGAGAGATGACAGATATAGATGGTAAGTAGATGATAGATGATAAAAATGGATTGATAGATAAATATAGAGATGATAGACATATATAGTAAAGATGGATGATGGATATATATAGATGATAGAGATATATGATAAAGATAGATTTATAGATGATAGAGATAAATAGGTAGATGGTATTAATATATGATAAAGATACATATTCATAGATAAATAGATTGATATGTAGAGATAATTTATAATAGATGATACAGATAGATAATAGATCATAAGTAAACAGTAGATAGATAACAGACAGACTGATAGACATATGCACACATTTGTACACACAACTTCAATCTCACACTAACTTCTCCCTTGGGGATTCCAAAAAGGAGCAAGAAAACCATTTCAGGATAATAAGACAAAACACTGATCTATGGCACATTTGGCTACAAAGGGATCATGGCACAGTGTTCAAGACTGAGATCTCTGTTGTCTGATTTCTTGGTTTCACCACTTTCTAAAAGCTGGGGTGAGTTTTTGAAGAACATCGGTCTAGGGAGTTTGTAGAAAAGAATATTCTGAAAGTCTAAGCACAAGAAGAGTCCAGAAAGAGAACATTGCCTTGTCAGTACATCTAAAAGGAAACAGAGTCTCTGGAAAACAGAAATGGTCCACATAGCAAGTTGGATGGGTCAGATAGGAGGAGGATTTCAACGAAATGCCATGGTAGCCTGGCCTCTCATGGGAGAAGTAACACGATACCAAGGAAGTTGCTCTGGTTTATCTCCTCTTTGGGAGGTAATATGGGTAAGTAGTACAAGCCTGGAGCTGTGAGAACAGAAAAAGGTTTAATATTATCTGTTACTTTCCTGTGACCTGTGTTTGTTCTCAATTTCCTAGAGAAATAATAAAAGTTTATTTCAGATCTCTTTATTAAACTTACTGCCAAATCTGTCATTCTGTCTACCTGTCATATATATCTATCATCTATCTATCTACTTATTTATCTATCACAGATTGTCTATCTCTCATCTATCTCCATGTCTGTTTATCTACCTGTTATCTATCAACTATTTATCATCTGTATCTATCATAAGTTATCTATCTCTCAATCTGTCTACCTGTCTATCATCTATCATAGCTATCTGCCATAAATCGTCTCTATCTATAGGTCTACCTATTTATGTTCATTTTTGTTCTTTTTGTTTTGTTTTGTTTTGTAGGTACAGAGATTACAGGTACCCTCCTGATCATGAGAACAAGTATGCCCATAACATGCAGTTCTGGCATGTCCTTGCTGCCAAGCTGGTCTTCATCATAGTAATAGAAGTAAGCTGACCTGGACTTTGCCCCATCCCTCTCATCTCTCCCCTTTCCTTTGCCACTCCCCTAAGCAGCTGTTTCTAAACACACCTGCCATCAGGAAGTTAGCTTCCTCCCTTTTTTTTTAAGGAATCATTTGTTGTCGTAAGTTGCAACTTCTCTTTGGGAGCTTGTCATTCACTTACAATTGGTAAAGGCACCTTGGCAACAGGAAAAGAGAGGAAATGCATGCGAAGGTCAGGAAAAGGCTGATTTGCAGAACATCTGTTCTGAAGGCTCTGTTCCAGAGCACTCTCATCAACTAGCCTTACTTTTTTACCTTTGACAGATGAGCCTGATAGTCATCAAAATAAGTCATTGACTTAAGGTAAGTTAGCTACACTTAGAGCTGGGATTTGGTACCATCTGTGTATCAGTCGAAAACCTTGGTTCTGCCCGCTGCAGGGCACTCCTTCGAGGTGCGATATTTGGAGAGAAAGTTCACAAGAAAATGTAACTATCACAGAGGAAGGATGGATAAAACTCATTAAATAGGAAGAGAAAAAATAAGATGTGGTCCCCCTGGGGAGTGCCCAAGTACAGCACAGGTCCAACCTGAGCACATGCTGTTCAACTGGGGTTCCTCAGACTCATTACTGCTATACAGGACTCATTAGTGCTATACAGGACTCATTATTGCTATACAGGCATTGCATGCATGTTTAAAATCAGATAATTCTGTGTAGCTAATAGAGCCTTACACATTTCTCACTAGCCTCAAATCCTGATCTCCAAAGGCAAACACTTTCAACTTTGAAGCCCATTTGTGTCACAGTTTAGCTCTAGCAGAACAATGTCCCAACAGACCCAGATTTTAGTGTTAGGCTGTGATTGTTGACCTCCTACAGTGACATGTAGCACACAGGAGCACACTTGACACTGTCTTCATATATACACCATCATCTTCCTCCTACCCCTCAAGATAATTATAATATATGTATACATGTATGCATATTTGATTTGTAGAGCTCCATCATTCTTCTCCTGAACTACAAAATCTCAAGAAACAATAGTTTGGTGAGTTAGTAGCCATGCATCCTGGATCTGGTACCATTTCAGTTCATCAGCAGCCTTTATTCATTCCCTTTAGAGTGACTGATGGTCAGAATTACTGGTACATGCTTTATACACTAAATGATACAGTTTTGATGTTTAATCATGCTCAACTCTCAAATGGTGTATTCATCAGAGTTTCACCTAAGAGTTTAATTAAGGTTCATATACTATGACTTTATAAATATTAGTAATCTTTGTTTCATGCCATAGCCTCCTAAAACTTCTCTTTGCTTAGGTTTATGTTCTCCCCACCCCTGTTCTTTCTTTCCTTTCTCTCCCCCTCCTTCCCCTACATCAGATTTAAATTCTTCTTTAATTTATTTCACATTTCCCATAAAATGTTTAGATCACTCTTCTAGCCAGTAAGAGTACTCCCCTTGGGTTTGCTACCTAATTTTGAGGTTCATCTTTCAGGAACTCTCTGAAGAAAGCTTATAAGTGGCTTGTTTTTGAGACCTTAAATATTAAAAGCTTATAAGTGGCTTGTTTTTGAGACCTTGAATATTAAAATGTTTACCCACAAATATGACAGTCATTTGTTCTGAAATCAAAAGTCTGAGGTTGTTTGCCATTACATTTTTTTTTTTTTTTGGTTTTTTGAGACAGGGTTTCTCTGTGTAGCTTTGCGCCTCTCCTGGAACTCACTTGGTAGCCCAGGCTGGCCTCGAACTCTCAGAGATCCGCCCAGCTCTGCCTCCCAAGTGCTGGGATTAAAGGCGTGCGCCACCACCGCCTGGCTACATTTTTAACCTCAATTTAGGCACTCTTGAAAAACATTTAAGACATTGCTCCACTTTGGTCCAGTTTTTGATGCTGCTATAAAGGACAGGGCCACCCAGTCCCTTGTTAATGACCTTAAGATGAACCAACATTGAGTGTTCTCTCGCCAGCTCTGCCAGTCTGAACCTTCACAAGCAAGTTGTTGGCTACTGGACTGCATAGTTGTCCCAGGAGCTGACTGAGGTCCCTAGATCTGTAAGCACACCCTTCAGGTTTGGGGTGTGTGTGGAAAATGTCTGTCTCTGTGATTTCCTTCTCAGAAGCCCCCTTTCTCCATGGTTTCTCTGCTGTGATGTCTACCCTGCTCCAAACTTCAGTGATCATACGTCCTCACCTGTGAAGAGATGGAGCCGTCCCTTTGTTCTTTTCATTAGCTTTCCTTCTTCTTGGTTCAAGTCTGTCTTGTTCTTTTTCTTTCTTGTTAGACAATTTATTGCACAGTGGATAGTATTGTACATTCACGAATCAGGGGGTTAAAGGGAAAAGGTTACAAGTCTAGTGTGCAGAGGTGTGTGCCTACCTTTCATTAGAAATCCACAGTTCAGTCTGCAGTTTCCTATCCCCAATGGGTCCATGCAGAAAGAGTTTCAGGCCTAGCCAGTATAAAGCAGTGTTGGGTTTGGTTTTTGTTTGTTTTATATTTTTAATAGCAAGAAGGGAGCTGGCAAGATGTCTCCATGGGTAAGGGTGCTTGCCTCCAGTCCTGATAATTCAAGTTGGGTTTCCAGAACCCATGTGATAGAATAAGAGAACTAGCTTCTCTAAGTTGTCCTATGACCTCTCCGTGTCATCCACATACTGACACATGAACACCATCAGTCAACAACTAATTTTAGAACTAGAAGGAAAAGCACTCAAGGAATACATCCAAGCACACTCATGAGCATGGCATCGACTTCTTCGGAGACTGCCAGTGTTTACTAAGAACGTCCATCTTATATTTATTTAATTTAGTTTATGTGTATGGGTGTTTTGCCTGCATGTATGTTTGTGTACTAGATTAGTGTGGTGCCCACATGGACCAGAAGATGGTGTCAGATTCCCTGAAGCCAGAGTTAACATTTGTTAGCTGCCCTGGGCTGGGAATCGAACCCAGGTCCTTTGGAAAAGCTGCTGGTGCTCTTAACCACTGAGTCATCACTCAACCCTGTACTAAGATGTTTTTAACATATATTTTAAGCACACGAGTGAAGAGAAAGAAAGACACTCAGGGAAAGAAAAAGATCCTACCTAAGTAGGTATGGGATGCACACAACTGAGCGTCTGAGCATTGACCACAGTGACCCAGAAGCTCTGAAGTTCATTCTCCAGAGTTACTACGGAACTTTTTTCTTTCCTTTTGATACATGAGATTAGAGAATGGCTCTGAAAGAGGTACCTTAGATGGGATTATAGTATGATGAGGTAAAATCAGGAACTACTGGGGCTGTGCAAGGGTTTCCTGGTGAGACTCCTAAGTGGAGGTTCTAGCTGAGAAGGGGGAGAAGGCTTTAGTGTTAATAACCATGCTGGGACTCTGTTCTCAGCAAGCCAAGGGGAGCAGCCCAACTCCTGGGTGAGAAATTTCTCTCCCTTCCTGTATCCCCACAGTGTTTGCTCTTTCTTTCTTGTCCACATTCCGTATTCTGAGTTTCACTTTTCAGAAACTTTGCTTTCAATGCATGCCCCTACCTCCACTCTACACCATAGCCTGTGCCTCTGTGCTCACAGCTTTCTGGTATTAAAAATAAGAACTCTTGGGCTGGAGAGATGGCTCAGAGGTTAAGAGCACCGACTGCTTTTCCAGAGGTCCTGAGTTCAATTCCCAGCAACCACATGGTGGCTCACAACCATCTGTAATGAGATCTGGTGCCCTCTTCTGGCCTGCAGATAGACATACAAGCAGGCAGAACATTGTATACTAAATAAATAAATCTTTAAAAAAAATAAATAAATAAGAACTCTTCACATAGCTCCTGAACATTCTACTGTGTCTCATAGAAATGCCAAACTGATGTTCTTGTTTTTTACTCTACACTACACTGCTGGTGACCTTCATTCCTGAAAATATTCTAAGAATCTCAAACAAAATGGTCAGTATGCTTCAAGTTTCTCCTTCACACTAAATCACCAATGGCACGGTTGAGTGTGAGCTTCCCTGTCTAAAGGAAATTAGGATTATTTTAGAGATGTTTTATTACGTTCTTAGGATGGGGTACCCATAAAGAGCAGGCTTTTTTATATCCATGTTCCATTTTTCTAGTTGCTTATTTAAACATAGTTATTTAACTCCATTGTGTGTGTGGAAACTACAGGATACACACATGCACACATACACCTGTATGTGTATACATGATTCAACTTCGTGCTTCTTGTGTCCAACAGAGTTTATCAGATGCTCAGGGGGACCTTTAAGGACTCCGTACTAAATTCTTGATAATCCTAACAGTATCTATGATCTTCTTTTATCACTCCTAGCACGTCGTGTTTCTGTTAAAATTTTTATTGGCCTGGATGATACCCGATGTTCCAAAAGATGTCGTAGAGAAAATCAAACGAGAAAAGTTAATGACTATCAAAATTATTCATGACTTCGAGCTCAACAAGTTGAAAGAAAACTTGGATATTGAACATAATAACATCGTTAAGGATGGCACAGTGGAAGATGTCATATCCCCAACGGACAAAATCCCTGTCTAATCCACACACGAGGCGTGAAGCTCTGTGCCCTTCTCTGTTCACTGTTGCCTCTGGACTTCTGGCTGGATGCTGGAATTCATGTATCCATTTGTTTTTCTTTCTTTCTTTTATTTTTAACTCGGAGTCTTTATGCCCTATGATAGAGGCAGGCATCAGAGGAGAACACAGGTGGGCATCATCCACTGGGCTCTCCCAGGGTGTGACTCATGGGGTCCTGTACACACTTGCAGGTGGTGCCTGTGGATTCAGAATCTGGAAAATCATGGAGTGTTGCTACTTAGAGTGAAACACTGGCCTGGGGGATGCTCTGTCACTTCCCAGGGCAACTGCACATCTCTGCTGTCTTCTGTTGAGTGCCTTCCATCTCCCTCCCAACAAGAAAAGGGTTGTATCAAAAAGAAAGCTAGAAAAGAGACCCACCATTTCATAGAACATCTGCCATTGTAAAATGTACACATGTAAAGCCAAAATCAGAAGAAGTCCTGAGAAACTCACCTATTGACAAACGCTGGGTAAAAATCATAGCAGGAGAGTGCTCTTGACAATGTCAGGTCAAAGTTAGCTTCTGTCAGAATCCCAGATAGCCTTTCCTGGTAAAGGTAGAATCAGTTTTTCCCTAAGACTAGAAGAATTTTTATGAAAGACTCTCAGAGGGCTTTTGAAGGTAGTGTTTCCATTTTGTTGACTAGCTTCAACACCATGGTGTCAGGTGACTACAGGTTTTCAAGTGAAGGTACTGTGCAAAGCCAATGTGTCTTCTTAGGAGCTAAAGAATGCAAGATGGTACATAGACATTAACTTATTCAATGATAAAGTGAAACTTTTAAATTTCTCTGAAATGCTGATTTTTGCATCATGAAGCCTTTTTGAGCTCTAGCCATTTGTATAAGTTGGGCACAAACTGTTTACAAAATGTGATCTCTTCACTCTAAAAAAAACCTCCAAACCTTGTAATAAGTCTGCAGTCTTTTCATGGACTGCATCACACCTACAATGTCCAGTGTCTTCTTTCTACGCCTTTGACACATGAAAAATTGTCTAGGTGATTGGTAATTTGACATGACAGAGTATTTCAGATGTCATGTCACAAGTATTTCACTTGTCTTAAAGAAAATGGCAGTGTTGTGAGCACAGAGTTTATCACCAAAAGATCATCGACCAAGTGAGGTGATAATTAGGTGGGAAAAGTATATTTGTTGAAGTATCCCTTCCACATTTAGGCCTATGTGGATATACAGTAATTCTTGTCATGGGTTCAGTTAATACAATATCACATATGTGCCTGTATGTAACTTACCACTAGAGTGGGAGATATGGTCCAGCTCTAGAGTACTCAAATCTTTGGGTTTAAATTAGAATTCAGCTACAAAGGAATATTTTTAAATCACATATATACAAAGAAACTTGATCAAAACATTTTTTAAAAGCAGTGTTCCCTTAACAATAACACGATTTTCCAGCATAGCTGATATTACAGTATTAACTAACTACTGATAGATACTAAGTATTTAGAACTAGGGATTATGGATTTTATAAAAATAACAAAAGCATTATCACATCGCATTATTAGCAATATTGATTTGTTACATAGTAGGTAGATTGCATGTTTGGGTCACTTGAAATGATTTTATAATTGAAAGATACTTTCATAAGTGGAGATGGTCAGTTTAAGAAAACCAGTCTTTTTTAGCATGATCAAGCCACAGCTGTGGTTCTTGTAGACTGTCAAATTACACTGCAGGGCTTTTCACGCACAACTCATATTGCCTTCTTCATGGGTGCTAACTTTTAAAAAAGGCGGGGGAGATTATAGTTTTTTTGGAAATACACTTTAATTTTGTGACTTCCAAGTATTATGGAGCTAGACTGCAAGATAAGGACAAAGCTGACTCGCAAAGCTGTCCATACACTGTAGGTTCAAAATCACCTCAAGCACTGAGTGTCTAAAGTAATGGTAGAAATGAGCAAAATTGGAATTTATTTTACAGCAAGTGTTTCTTATAATTTATTGGTGTCTTCGCTTCGTGTTTGCCTTGCAATTTTCCACTGATAACTTTCATCCTGTTTGATGTTTTACCCTGAGATACTAGAGTCACTTTCTGGAAAGTCTGTTAGCCAAAATCAGATGGAGTTGGTTCAGGCAGATTTACCTACTTCCACCAACACATTGATTGGTGTGAGAGCATTGAGTTAGATGTAGCCAACCGCCAGGTGTGTGTTCGTGTTTAGGAGTGTGGCTGTGGATTTTTTGTTTTTTGTTTTTGTTTTTTATCCTTCAGTCAAACAAGTGGTTTACTATTTTCCACTGATATTCCAAGGAACATCTGAGATCTTCTGTGAAAATAGAATCTTCAAGTGCCAAAGCCCCAAAGCACACAGCTTTTTCCAAAGGTCCTTTGCAATCATCATCTTCATTGTTTCTTTTCACACAGGAAGCAAAATCCTTCAAATTACTAACCTTAGACATCAAAAGGGGACTGTCATTAAGTGAAAGATGTTTTAATTTTGCACTATTTCTGGACTTCTGGATTTCACCTCCTTTTTTTGGTCAAGAGAAAGGAGAGAGTTGTTTCCTCTAGGTCTCAAATGGGATTCTTTGGAGTACAGCTGTGGGTAGGAAGACGCAAATCTCTTCTCAGTGCCAGTCACTAAGGGTGAGAGAATATATCTGGAGAAATTCCAGGTTGACAATTATTGTGTGTCACAAGAAAACCTTTGCTTGCAAAGTGTGTTTGTAGGGTCAGGTACTGTGAGCAATCATTGACCCTGCTCTCCAGTGACAATGATACTGGTCATTCAAAAACATAGCCTATTGCTTTGGAAAAACCTCCCATAGTTATTATGTAATTGAATGATGCCATGAAGGAAAACATTGCATTGCCAGGCTTTGGACTCTGCCACAAGGAATCAATAGAACTATCGTGTTACTGTTCTTCGTGCAATTTGAATCTACTTTTCTGTGTAGTAATTAAAGTATGTCAGTTATTTCAGCATTATGTAAAAATTAATGACAATGTTTAAAACGTAATGTATAGTATGGCATAATCTGTGTGAGACACAACTGCCCATTCCTCTAAATATGTCATTGAATACAGGATGCAGCTCTCCCGATATGAGATGCTGTGTCTTGAAGTTAACTCAAAGTATACAAGCTTGCTTTTTCGTCCCTCCATCCCTCCCTCCCCCCTTCCCTCTCTCTCCCTCCATCCCTCCCTCTCCCCTTCCCTCTCTCTCTCCCTCCATCCCTCCCTCTCCCCTTCCCTCTCTCTCTCCCTCCATCCCTCCCTCTCCCCTTCCCTCTCTCTCTCCCTCCATCCCTCCCTCTCCCCCTCCCTCTCTCTCGCCCTCCATCCCTCCCTCCCCCTTCCCTCTCTCTCTCCCCCCATCCCTCCCTCTCCCCTTCCCTCTCTCTCCCTCCATCCCTCCCTCCCCCTTCCCTCCTTCTTCTGTCTCTCCTTCCCTTTGTCCCTCTTTTCTTCTTTCCCTTTTCACTCCTTATTTCCTTCTCTTCTTTTTTAAAGGGAACACACAGGTATTTAGAAAAAATTGTCTTTATTAATGAACCCAAACCTAAAAAACCAAATCACTCAGTGATTAAAGTAAGTAAATAATTTCAAATATCTTGACACAAACATTATTTCTTATCTCCATTTCATTATTTGAGAATTTCACACACGCATATAATGTGCCTTGATTAAATCCATTTCTTCATTCCCTATGCTGCAGTTCCTCCTTATTCCAAATGCTTTTCCTTCCAAACTTCACGTGCTTTCTTTTTTAAACACTTTCAGTTCATTGAATGCTCTGTGTGCACGTGTGTGTACACACGCACGCACACACATTCTAACTTTGGTTTAGAACTGAGATAATTTCTGAAATCAAGAACTCTAGAGAAGGTTTGACATCAATTGTGTTTCTCTGCAGAGACTTCTGAGCACACCCCATCCTCGGGGTTAGCCCAGATGTCACTGTACTGCCTGCCAAGTACAGACAGAGCCAGTGAAGAGCAGCGGCTACTCTAGAGAAGTTGCAGAAGGTAGAAGCTTTTCCTGTATTGCCTACCTGCCTACCTCCCCGCCACCCCCAACTACTTTGGAAGATGTTGCTTGGGGAGGTGAAAAGATGGTTGAGAACATTATAAATGAAAAATTTGCAGCTGAAAGCACTTTGACAAATTCCTGAACAGGTAGCCAGGCCCACCATGGGTTGGGTAAAGTCACGTAGCGTCAGGGCAACCAAGCCTTTGCCCTGTCCTTTCTAGGTATATCTGGAGACTCACAGTTGAGAAGTTTACACCTCTAGTTTCCACTTGTTAAAGACATTATATTCATTTTGTTCAACCAATATATGTTTTTGAAGTGCAGAATGATCATAAAGTCAAGTGATTGTATCACATTCTAAGTATTTCATGGATCAAGCATACTATCATACAGGATTTAAATAGCAAAGCAAAACTATCAATATTACTGGGAAGGCATTTCTTTTGAAATTATAGAGAGTCTGGAATGAAATGTGGATAAACCAGAACCTGCAGGACCATCAGGTATAGGCTTGAGACGGCAAAGTTCCTGAACTTCTGTACAGCTGCCTCTGTCTTCTGCTTGTGATAATCTACAGTCATGTTTCACTGATGGGAGCCCAGTGCTGGCCCAAAAGGAGCATGAGAAAAGAGAGTAAACAGGGTAGATGGATTGTGTGCCTTGTACCATGTAGACCCTTCAAGAACAGTCCCAGAAAGATACCTTTGCTGCTTTATGCTGTCTATCACTTTGCAAGTAGGATCTGGTCACTTTTTCGTCTCTGGGACAAAATACCTGACCAAAGGAAATGAAGGAAGGTGGGATTTCTTTGGGCTCACAGCTTGAGGATTCAGTTCATCATGGTGGGAAGTCATGACGGCAGAGCACGAGGCAGCTGGTTAAGTGCATCCACAGTCAGGGGGCATGGATACTGGTTATTGGTTCATTCCTTTCTATTCAGCTGGGAACTCCAGCCTATAG